AACAAAAGATAGGGGTATGACTTTTTGTCTCAAAAAAGATAAAGGCAATGTTTCAAAGTCTCAAAGAAAGGTAAAGTCAAAATTTGGTTCTTTGGTAATGACCATGAATTATACCGGGTAAACATTCGAGAGGTTTTATTTTTGGTTTTAAATGGTATAAGAAATGTCTAATCTTGTCATATGTCAAAAATCTATAATTTTTGAAGAACTAAAAGAATATGTAATTCATTCGATATTAGAAGAACTACTAGATTAAAACTCGTTCAATTGCTCAACCTTAGAAGGTAGCATAAATACAATTATTAAAAGATAAAAAAATATTTAAGCAAATATTAAAGACAAAACAAAAAACAAGTTCAAACAAAACAATGCTCTTAATGCAATTGCAAAATGCTTCACGGTAGATGCAAAGATCTCTTCTTGATTAGCATCAGAATGCCCCATCATTCTTCGAATGTCCATGCTCCTGAATCAATCAGATTTTAGACCTTGCGCTTCAATGCCCCATAATTCTCAGTAGTGTGTGAATGAAGTTGATCAGTTAGAAACACTTCCTCAGAGTTCCCACGAGATATAATTAATGTATTAAAAAATGCTTAAATGAATGTCATGCAAAATGCAAAGATGCAAATGCATATGCAAAAGGTGTTAATCACAATGGTGAATATCACAGAACAATTTTCACCAGAGATAAAAGCCTCCACATTACAAGATAGTCCATTTTACAGACATGTTTTCGCTTAGATGTTGAGTCTGAAGTGGATCACTGCTTCGTCTCGAATCTTCGTCCTCGAAAATGATGCCCCTCAAGCGTTTTGTAACCTAACTCCGTTAATGCCCCGACTGTGCTAAATTCAGTATGTCGCTCCTTGATGACTAGCGATAAAATGAACTTAAATAAGGCTCTACTGTCGGATTATTCCTCGGATCAGTGGATCATCACTTCAGTCTCGAATGTTGCATGATATTTGAGCAAGTCTCATTCTTATACTATGAACTTCTTTTAGCTCTCGATGCATGTCTGTGTACGTTACTGCTTTATTAAAAACTTTTACCTCTTCTTGTGAAAATTTTCTCTCTAATATTCCCTTGCGGATCAACATTTTTGTAGTATGTCATGACGATGCAACGCAATGCAAAGAAGGATGAAAAATGACACAAACAAAAAAAGAAATAAATTAGTATTGGTAAGATAATTGATACAGATAAAAATGTTATTAAGGGATGAATATAACACCTATCCCGTCATGATATCTACCCGAACATACTTTTTATTAAATAGCATTCCAACTCGGACATGCTTTCTACCTAAAATGATTAATTTTCAAGAAAATAATCTTAACTGTATGACATCTAGTTCACATGCTTTTATTCAATAAAATTTAAAGCAAAAGGAAAGGTTCAGAAACACTCCTCTTTTGTGTAGACTTATCTTGGGTACGTACTAACGGACAGAGGATCAGTATGACTATACCTAGGGTGACCGTTCTACAGTTCACTATATGCATGGTTTCAGCTCTATGAGGAGAGGGTACTCGAATTGTCCTTGATGTCGATGCCCCCTTGGGCTGCCAAACCCTCGATCCTCACCCATTATAGGTTTCGAACGGAACAATTTCAATTCGAGGGGATTCACTTCCTTATACCCATACGAGGAATAAATCCCTACGAAGGTATAAGGCATGTATCTTAGGGGTTATTTGCTAAAACTTATACGAAGAATAAATTTTTACGAGAGTAAAGAATTCACCCAACTTATCTGGAACAAAGCTCGGGTCTAGAGCTTATATCATGCAAATGCACGTGATGTGTTTGAGGAGGAGTGTACAAACCTTTGACTCAAAAGGAAACGAAAAAAACTTGACAAAAACCTCAACAAAGCTTAAAAATACATTAAAACGTTAGTACGATAATTTAAATAAATAAAGAAATTAGAAAAACTTTAATAAATGGATCATAACCTAACTATAGACTCGAACTTATAATTTCCACCACAACAACAATGTGTACTATAGCCTGACTCTCTAAAAAAAAGTCCTCAACCATTTTTTTTAAACAATTAAATATTATAAATAATAATTACGACTTTTATTTGGAAAAATTGACGATTTTAAATTGGTTTGTATTAAATTGAAAGGGAGTCGCCATTGACCTTTGGGCTAGGTAGGTCGAATATCTAAAACGTCTTTTGAAACAATTTTAAGAAAAATCATTTTTAAGACAAAAACTGGTCTGTGTTATCAAATATTCAATTTAACGAGTCAGGGAGTCGATTACGCGTGGGGAATGATATTCACCCCCACAACGCCCAAAATTAGTACTTAGTTGTTTACACGTTGTCAAAAATGATGGAAATTATGAATCGAATATATAGTTAAAATGTAATCCATTTATTGAAGTTTAATTAATTTACTTCAAATTATTTATTAGGGAAAATCCTTTAATTCGAAAAGAAATTTTGAGATTTGCTCATCCTCCGACGGAAAAATTATCACTCCTATTTCTTGACCAAAAAGAATATTCCCTCATCGATATATAAGAAACATAAATCGAATATAAATTGAATATTGGCATTTGCATAAAAATAAAATAAGTCGCTATGTATAGAAACATGTTTGTCATTATTTGACTTAAATAAAAATAAATTAATTAACACTTTTTTTAAAAAAAAAATTTGATTTATTTTGAGTTCATGTTTCGTTTGAATGTTGTATCGGATCACACTACTTCGATCAAGCAGTGCTTTCCACACCCATTCTACAAAAAAAAAATTCTTGAAAAATTTCGAGTAATGTTTAAAATATTATTGAAGAAAAATGAGTATTTTATAAATCAATAAATAATTAATTATAAAAGAAATAAAAATAAATACCAATGCAAAAGGGAACATACGTGTAGTAAATAGAATATATTTATTACATACATGTATTTACTTAAAACTATAGCAAATATTTTATAGTAATATAACGTATATATACTCGCACAAAATACAAGTGATAAAAAATATTGATTTCCGAACAGGACAAACCAAAATTCTCATAGATTTAAATCATGTCTTGGAAAGTGATTAAATAACAAAAGATAAATTACATAGCATTAATGTAAACATGAGAAAAGAACCGTAAAAAAAGGTATATACTTCTATACGTATATAAATATCTATTCTGAAATATAGGCATTAAAATAAAATAAATAAAAAACATATTTTACTGGAAATTAAAACTAATTAAAATAGGAAACATATACTAAAGAGCAAGAATATAATCACATACATGGCAGTAGCAAGGACCAAAATAAATAAAATAACAATTCCATGCCCAAATCACAAGAAAATAAATTTTATTAGTGACTACAATAAAATAAAGTAAAGTTCATTAGCTATATTCGAATAAATGGCATAGCAGAATATGACTAAATTAAAATAAAATAGAAACAATATACTTAAATCGAAGAAATACCAAAACGACATGTCTAGTGACTAAAACGTGAGAACACAGCCAAGATTGGGGAGCTAAAAGTGATTTTCTTCTGCAACAGATGACTAAGATGCAAAAAACCCAGAAACGAAAGGACCTAAACGTAGTTATACCTTAATTTAATGACCAGGATATAATAAGGTACCTAATGTACATGGACATGTGGGTAATTAACACACAACAATGACCTAAATGCAAAAACACGCTAAAGCTGTAGGGACCTTAGCGTGATTTTCCCAAAATGTCAAGGAGACATAATACCTCTCTTCTGTTTTAGCTTGCCCGTAAACTAACCCTAAAAACCAAGCCATTCGACTCCTCTCTTCCTCTCCCCTCTACCCCTTTCTCATCCACAATGCCGCCAAAACCAAAACCAACTTGACCACCATGCTCCGATGATGGCCTCCCCCAACGCCTCAAAACCCGAAGCCGACGACATCCTCGGCCCCGACAGAAAACAACATCGACGAGATGAGCTCTAAATCTATACCTCTTTTTATTTTATTTTTTTTCTTAGAATGATAGTACTCGCATGCTAAAACACGAAAAAAAAAAGAGGAAGAAGCAGGGACTCATACCTTCGAGTTTGAAATTTTCGGTTCTTTTATTTGATTCTACAAATTGTTTCTGCTGTTACACTCTTTTTTTTTGGTTGGGTTTTTCCCTCTCTGTTTTTTTCCTGATCGGAGGTCCCCTTTTTACACTGATTTGGGGTTTTTATATAACCCATTACATATGTAAAAAAAATAAGAAAATGATGTTGTTGTTGATGTGTTTGGTGACTGAAGCTGTTGAGAAGCATGGTTGCACAGGGCATGTGTGAGGCGTGGTGTTGGCGTGGGGGTGCTGTGGAGCAGGGCATGGGCATCAGTTGGGTTGGTGGTGGCTTCGGGTCGGATCCTGGGTTGCTGGGCCTGATACTGGATCGATTTGGGTCTGAAGTCTGGGTTCTTGGTGAGCTGTTGGTTGGCTTGTAATGGTGGACTGCTGGGCCTACAAAAATCTAATAAAATAATTAATAATAATAATTAATATATATTTTTTTAGATCCGAATAAAAACGGGTGTTTATAGATATTATTTTAGTGTGGCAAGTTATGTTAACAACCATTGAACACATCATAATCTCCTTAGTGACTTAAAGATGGAGTGAGATAATTAAATATAAAATTAAAATTAAAATTTAATAAATTAAAATTTAATATTATAATTAACAAAAGAAAAAAAAACACAAATATAAACGAGTAATCGAACAAAGTAATATCTAGTATATTTTATCCTTCCTTTTATTCCCATTTGCAAATGAGTAAGTGTCGTCAACTTCCCATATCTTCAAGTTCATCACCACCTTAGGATAAAATGGAAATTTCAAAAAACTCAACGAAATTCCATAAATATCCATACTCAAACCCAATCATTTTCCATATAAAAATAGGCAAAACAGTCATTACATCACCTAACCAGTAGGTATTTTATTGTTATTGCAGTGACAGATGGAGCCCTTCACTTCTAAGTAAGCAATCCTCCATTGCTTCAAATCCACACACTTTCATTTTGTTCTTTACCAAAATCTCCACAAATCCCATCCACTCCATTATCTTTCTTCTTTCTTCTTTCTTCGTCCTAATTGTCTCAGTTTTCAGTTTCTGAAACTAAACATGGGGATCAAAGCTTTCATGGTCTCCTTCATCCTCACTTCAATTCTCTTGTCTGTTCTGTACCTCCCAACCAAACTAGTCATCCCCATTACAAGGTTCAACCCCATGTCAACCTTAAACATCGTACAAAAGTCCAACATGACATATCCGGTTACCTTTGCCTACTTAATCTCAGCATCCAAAGGGGACATAATCAAGCTAAAACGTGCCCTACATGCATTGTATCACCCTGGAAATCGGTACCTGATTCATCTGGATTACGATGCGCCTGCCATGGAGCACAAGGAGATTGCAGAGTTCGTGTCGAATCACCCAGTTTTCAGCTCGCTCGGTAATGTCCATATCGTCGGGAAACCAAACTTGGTTACTTATAGAGGTCCGACTATGCTTGTTGCAACCCTTCATGTTATGTCCATGCTTTTGAGATGCTGCAAATGGGATTGGTTCATTAATCTCAGTGCTTCTGATTATCTTTTAGTAACTCAAGATGGTATGGTGAGTGCCCTTGTTTTGATTCCTTTTCTTTAATGGGTTTTGCATGATTATGCAAGTTCTTATGAGTAATGAGCTTATTTGTTTTCTGGGTTTTCTTCTTTTAGATCTGATTCATGCCTTTTCTGGTTTGCCAAAAGATCTCAATTTCATTCAGCATACCAGTCAACTGGGTTGGAAACGGTAAGAAAATTTTGCTTCAATCTTGTTTTTTTTTAACAATTCAATTGGTTTACAGTAAATATGATTAAAATTTACAGGAACAAGAGAGGAAAACCTATAATAATAGACCCAGGGCTTTACAGCAAGAACAAGTCAGACATCTGGTGGGTAATTAAACAATGGACACTGCCCACTGCTTTCAAGCTTTATACAGGTTATTTCTCCATTTTTGTCCCCTGGTTTTTCTTTGGCGTAATATCAAAAATAGCCCCTAATATTTAATGGTCATTTAGACCCTTATTTTTTTTAGCAGTTTGATTTCAAACGTTTCACTTTGGGTAAAAAAGTTCCCTCTATATATCAAAACTAATAATTAACACACTATTAATACTTTAAAATAAGAGATTTTTAAACTTAAAATAAAACATTGATGGCTAAAATACTCCAAAAAAAAATAGAAAAAAATGATTATTGAGTCAAATGTTAAAGATATTTTCGACCTAAAATGAAATGTAAAAATTAAAATACTCTAAAAAATAAAATAAATGATAAAATGATCATTTTAATAAATATTGAAGGTTAATTTTGACATTATACCTTTTTATTTTAAATTCTTCAAGAAGAAATTTCATTTATCTTCACCCTGTGAGCTCTCCAACAAAGTGAAGGAACATTATATCGGAAGGTGCCATATCTCATGCACATGGTCCATGCATTAGAATTTATTAGCAACTCAGAAAACTAAAAGATTTTTGGAATTATGTAAAACTTCGTCCCTGTGCTTTTTTGATTCATTATTTTGTTTATTAGATTGTTTTCAGATCAATCCACTGCCGACAAAATGATTCTTTATAGATTTGCTTAAAATATAAATACAGAAAGTTGAAGGTCCTAGTTTGTAAAATTAGTGCTCATGGTTACGTACGGTTAGTGAGCTGTTGGTTGCTTAGAAACTGATTTTTAATCACCCACCAAATGGAAGTATCTTTTGAAAGATGCATCTTTACCTATGTGACAAGTCATTTGAGTGGTTTCTCTAACATTGACTCAAATTTATCCCTTAAGATTAAAATAAAAAAAATATGAAGAATAATGAGTCAGAAACGTAAAAAAATGTATGAATATTATTAGAAAAAACGTGAACGAGTGCATATTTAAAAGATTATATTTAAAATTCTAAAAATTCATATATAAACCATATAAGATTTAAGAAAGTATGGTAACAAATGCACTTTTGAGTTGAGATGTTTAATATGAGTCTTATCGAGTTTAAGAATTGTTTTTGACAGCTCAAAAGTAACAGATTTTTTATCATGATTCTTTTAAATCTCACATTGTTAGTATATGAGTTTTTTTTCCAAGTATTTAAATATAACCTTTTAAATATGCATTGAGTGATTGAAGATAAGGTCTATACACATGCATTGTCGCGGTTGTCCGATCGTGCATACCGACAGCATATGTTGCTTTTTTAAAATAAAATTTGTATAATCTTTTTGTGCTTTAGTCCATTATTCTTCATTATTTTTATTTTTGTCCTAAGTGACGTAAGCGTCAGAGAAATGATCTGAATGATTTATTATGTACATAAAGATGTATTCTCTAAAACACACATTTAAATCTAAATGATTCCCCAGTAGTTTGTGATGCTGCATGACTAGCAACTCTAGAGTTTCATGTCCATTTATTCAACAATATTGTTATGGATCACACACATTCTTTTACAAAATCTGAATGATTATCCATAAGAAATCTCCATTTAAGCCAAGGCCAATCCATCATTAATTTGCTTCAAAATCCAACAGGCTCCGCTTGGACAGTGATCTCAAGATCATTTGCAGAGTATTCCATTATAGGCTGGGATAACCTGCCAAGAACTCTACTTCTTTACTACACCAACTTCGTGTCTTCACCAGAAGGTTACTTTCATACATTGATATGCAACTCGGCAGACTACAAAAACACAACAGTGAACCATGACCTTCATTAAATCACATGGGACAATCCCCCAAAACAGCACCCGAGGTTGCTGGGTCCAGGAGGTTAAAAGCTCTGGTAACAAAAATTGTTTCTGCAAGGAGTTTCAGTAGGAGACAGTGTAGACCATAGATTTATTCCATTTTTTCCTCCCTACTTAAAATGAATCAATTGAAACAGAAATTTGTATGAAGATAATAAGGATGTTTTGTCAGCAAGAAGTGTGTTTGATGAAATGACTGAGAGTAGTGCTACTTGGAATGCCATGATTAAAGGCTATAGTTTACAAAGGTAGAGAGAGCTAAGAAATGCTGTAGAGAAGCTTGGGTGCTGTTTAGAGAGAGGTTAAATGATGTATCTGCGCAGAATCCTACCACGGTATGTGTTCTTTCAGCTTGTTATCGATGGAGAGAGCTAAAGGTGCTTATCGAATGAATCAATCAATTTGAATCGATCATAAATTGAGTAGTACTGGATTTGACTCTAAAATTATTTGACTCGTTCATTTTCATTATAATTTTATATTTTTTTAATAAAAATAATTACTTCAATTTTTGTAAAAAAATATATGAAACAATAAACATAGTAAAATACAATATAAATACATACAGAGGAGATATAAATACAAAGCTTTGGTTAGATTTATGCTACTTTTTCTGGGTTTCTCTTATCTTCTTCTTTCCTGTGTTGCTGTTCCCACAACCAGTAAGTCTGATGTCTTAGCTTTTCTTGCATTTTTTTATGTTAACATTTTGGTTTTTTAATGAAAAATTTTATTCATAGATTTTATTAAAATTATACTTTGTTTATAGGAAGCCTCAAATAAAACAAGGAACTGCCGTCTTCTGTTCAAGATTTACTTGCTCACGTCTCCTCTCTCTCTTCCATGTTTATAGTTTTGAAGAGGTATTTTTTTCCTTTCATTTTTAATCCAAAATTATTATTACCCTATAAGTTTGCATTTAATTATTGTATTTTGCATATCGTTATATTAGCGGAATGATTAAGGATGTTCGTATTGTTCCATTTTGTATCGGGTTGTATCCCGACATTTATCTTGAAAACGTAATATTTCTCTACTTAATCTAAAAAAATTGTGTTTTGTTTGGTTGTTTCTCCAACAAAATGCTAAAATTAGCCCCAATAATAATCATTTTGGTCTCTACTATTTTTGGAGCATTTTGATTCTTAACATTTCATTTTATGATAGAAATACTTCTATTTTGGAGCGTTAATTGTTTGCTAACTAATGATTTATATTTAAAGATAGACCTTATCACCGCAACATGAAACTTTATAAATCAAAATGGTCTAAAAAATAGGGTAAACTACATGTTTTATACCTAAACTATTACTTTTGTTCCATTTTATTACCTAAACTTTATTTTTTTTTTCTTCAAAATCATACTTAATGTATAGTTTAGGTTTCATTTTGATATCTCGCTATTAAAAACTTAATGGAACTACTGTATGTGGCATTTTTATTGATAAATTACATCATTAATTACTCAACTATCTTCTCACTCTTATTTTAGTCACTAAAGTTTATTTTTTTTTAATTTAACTATTCAACTTTCAAATTGCTCATGTTTTAATCACTCTAATGTATTTTATTAATAATTTTTGTCATTACTTTTTTTATTATTATTTTATTAATATATAATTAAAATAAAAAATTAAATTTGAAAGTTAGAGTGATTAAATTATGATTAATTTGAAAGTTAATTAATTAAATTAAAAAATTTAAACTCCAGTGACCAAAATAGGAATGAGAAGATAATTGAGTGATGAATGATGTAATCTACCCATAAAAAGTGCCAGGTACAACAGTTTCATTATGATTTTAACGTCGAGGTACCAAAATGAGATTGAAAAAAACGTTAGGTATGATTTTAAAAAAAATAAAAAATTAAGTATCAAAATAGGACTAAAGTAATAGTTTAGGTACTAAATGTGTAGTTTACTCAAAAAATAAGAACATCATTTTGTAGGAGCATTTGTTCGACATTGTGTGTATTTTGTTTTTGCAGGATGTAATGAAATTGAATGATGCTAAGGAGTTGTTGGGGGAATGTAACAACCCGAAAATCCGAGAAAAAATATATATATTTATTGGTGAAATTTGGTGATTAAATTAAAAGTTTTGAAAACTTGTAAGTCATTTTAGAAGTTGAAGAAAATTCAGGGACCAAGCTCTGAATTCCTCCAAGGAGTGTCGGCAAGCTTGATGATTTAAGTGTGTTTTCTGATTGTAAATCAGAAAACACAAATGTTAATTTGCTTAAACTTTCTTCCTCTCACACCTCTACTTTCAAGCCCAATTTCGTCGACGTCCGACCTTTGATCATCAAATTGAAACCACCATCGTGTTCATATTTGGTCTGTGAACAAAATCCAGTAAATCAATTATAGCGAAACGCTGCCAAACACCGTGAATTTCGAATCAACGTCTCGACATTTTTTTAGCACCACCACCGAGAAAATCTTAAATTCATCTCCGATCGTTGATGTGTTTTTTACACCTCCCGCACCATCGTTGTAACATCCCAAACTATGGGTTAGTGGCTAAATTGTAAATTTTTAGAATTTGGTGATTAAAGTGGAAAAGTTGAAAAGTTTAATGATTTATTTGAAAGTATTTCCTGAAGGGTTGTTAGTAATTATTAAAAAAATTAAAGGGCAAAATGGTCATTTAACTTGAAAATGATATACAGGCATGTGGGGATAAGGATGAGGAGATATTTTCTCCACTTCATCATCTTCTTCTTCATCATACGAGAGAAAGGGAGCCAAGCTTGCAAAGGTAAATTTTCCAATTAGTTGATTATTTGTTGATTTAAAGTTTGAGTTTTGATCATTAGATGATAACTAAGCTTATGGAAAGCTTAAGTTATCTTAAGATCAAAAGATAAAGAAGTTATGAAGAATTAAAGAGAATGGGTTCTTAAGTGAATTTCCGGAAAAGAGTTGATAAGTTGAATTTGAAACTAAATTTGACTTGTCATCAACTTAATTAAGAGATATAAAGTGATAGAATTGAATTTAGAGTATATTGAAAATTTGGGTATGATTATTGATTTTTATATGGAGAATAGGATTTTGAGGTTGAGATGTGATAAATGAGTAGAAATTGGTTTAAGTATGTATATTTGAATTAAGAATATGAAAGGGAATGAAACATGAAGAATTAAAGTTGGAAATAGTGAATTTTCGTGCATGAACAGTGATTTCTGGGCAGGTGCATCGATACACTATGAGTATGTACCGATGAACTAAGACAAATTTTGAAGGTGCATCGATACATTAAGGATTGCATCGATGCATGGGAATTTTGAAGCTATGTTGTGTACCGATGCACCTATAGTGCATCGATACACCCCTAAAGGAAAAATGGAATTTTGGTTCATTAAACTAGATTAAGTTATTAACATCAAGTTATAAGGTTTAGGCTTCTGATAATCATCTCGAAAATTATGTTTATGTAGATATTGAGCCTAAACAAGTTCCGGAACAATCAAAGAATTAGGATCGAATCAAAGCAATGCTAAGGTGAGTGCAATTTAATTGTACTTATGTTTTGATCAAACATTGGCTTGCGATGAGCCAGTGATGGAGTTACTATGGTAAGAAGTGACTCCTAAAATGTTATATGATTGATGTGATTCTTATGAGTGTATATGTTAAATGATATGTGTGAGTACATGTTAATGTGATTGTGAATAGGTATAAAGGAAACAAGTAATGATATAAGAATATATTATAAGATATATGACATAAAAATGTGATGGTAAGTCATGTGAAAGAACCATGAGATACATAAGCTTATATGAATATGTGATGTGAATGTATATATGAATATATGATATTAAGTGAATGAACATAGATAACATATATATGATGATATAAGAATAAAATATGAATCAAATGATATGAGTTATATGGGAAAAATATATGTGAACGAGATATGATATATATGTTTATGTGAAACCATGCAAAGTGATACGAGCTATATGGCATATGAATATGAAATCATATGAAAAGTGACATGAGAGTAAACTACGTGATTATATACACATGTGATATATGTTATGAGACATGACCAATGTGAGATAGATGTTTAAACATACATGTGGAATGTGACAGAAGAAAAGAAATTTGTGATCATAAGAGCAAGGATATGAAATGTTATAAATGATAATGCCCATGTTATGTAAAATGAGAGCTAGTGGTATAGTTGGCATACCAAGAGTCAAGGCTTTACCTATATTCTACGAAACATATGGACAGAATTACCTATGTCTTTCGGGACATATGGACAGTATACCTATATTCTAAGGAACATATGGACAGTTTACCTAGGTTCTTCGGGACCTATGGATAGTTTCCGAGGTTCTTTATGACCTCTGGATAGGTCATTCGGGACATTTATACGAGTTGTGGTGACAACATAGTGGTGCACAACCTCAATGTACTCAAATACCTTAAGTTCTTAATAATGTACATGGACTTATAAAAGGTTATCAAAGGTAATTGTATAATTATATGATGTTATGTGTGTTTTTTTAGGATATGATAAATATGTTATATGATATACAAAAATGATAAATACAAGATCATATGATAAATAGAGAATTCAATAATGATGGTATATGTGCATATATGTATTTTGATATATGAAATGTTTTATGGTTTTTATTATATGTTTATAAGCCTCACTAAGTCATAGACTTAACGTGTGATTGTTTCACACGTAGGTTCCAAGAAGAGGAAGAATGATAAAAGCTAAGCAAGACAGTTCAGTTCTCCTTTCCAAAGATGAGATCAGAAAAGAAATGTATAGTATGTATTTTGTAATAAGGATAGTGGTTGGCATGTAAATAAATGATTAAATCCGATATGTTCTAATCGGTTTTGAAAAGTCATACGATTGAGTTTTGTAATGTTTTAAATGCGTATATGTAATTGATTAATTTTATACGAATGAAAGCTTAGATTTTTATGAGTTTATACGTATTTTTACAAAAGTTATTGTAGTAGTGCATCGATGCACTGTAGCAGTGCATCGATACACAATTTATATTCGAAATATTTCGCTGTTCACGGTACTGTTCATATCGTATTTTACTGTTCATAAAATGTATATTTTCTTAAATTGGTTAGAACAAACACAATTCAATAATATATGATCGTATTTTCTTTATATAAGTTCAAATATTATGTTATTTTGCAACAATAAAGGTTTTGAAAAGACAATGCGACATCTCAGACTCGTATTTGGGTCAGATACGGGTTGGGGTGTTACAATCGTGTTTCTTGTTTCGTTTGGAGTCTGACTGTGTCCACCTTGTCTCCGTCAGCGGCGGCGCGTGAGGAGGTGAAGCGGTCAAAGTTTCGTATTTGTTAAAATCGAGCTCTCCACCATTCAAAATTGTGAACCAAGCTTTGTAAGTGCCTCAATATCACTTAAAATAATTTTTAGGAATTTTTCCGGGAATTTTACGACACCGTATCACTGTTCACGCGCCACCCCCCGAGAGTGGGCATCGTCTGGCCGCAGTGTGTTAATTTTGTAATTAATTTATATTTGGGTACTATTTGTGTAAAAACTCAGGTGTTAGTTTTGTAAATATTTGTAGAAGGTGGCTACTTTTGTAATTATTTTCGGTTAGGGTGATATTTGTTAAAAACGATCGACTGTTAACCGTTGACATGCACTGACCGTTGACCGGAGTTGACTACTATTGACCAGAACTTTGACCGGCGTTAAACGACTTTTGACTTTGACCGGGTATACCTATTCTAACGTTTTTCGACGTCTTGAATCCGTTTTTGTGGTCCGTTTTGCCAAATTCGAACCCGGTAAACTATTTTTCACTGATTTATCATCCGATTCCGTAATCCGTTAAGTCAAATTCAAACTCGTAAGCCTCTAAATTGATAGTCAAACCCGAAAAATGCATATATACTTAATAGTTTTAGCTTTGAATAATTAAGTAAGACTTGGGACTGATAAATTATTATTGTTTGAATATACAAGAGACTCTCTTGATCGTTCGATAGCTCGACCCAACTCCTCTAGATCAGTTAAACCACATGTGCCAATATTCACCCGTATGACCCGTAAATTTTATGATTTCAGGAATTAATTATGTTACTCATTAGTAATATAGTGTTATTATGAATTAGGTTCAAAAACTGTAGCAGAGCGTGGTGAGGCCAGTAATCACTAGATCTACTATTTGAACCTATTATCGAGGTGTGTTCCCTATATATTACTGAACTATTTTATTTGTTTTAACATGTGGTATACTGAATTCTATGGTTACTATTTCATTGATGAACCGATTCATTTTGAGACACTTACCAAGCTCGGTTCACAATTTTGAATTGCAGAGAGCTTGATTCCGAAACATAGAAAACTTTGACTTTCTCACCCCTCCATGTCCCGGCGACGACGGAGAAACGGAGAACACCGATAGACTCGAAACGATGCAAGGAACTCGATGGTGAGGGAGGTATCGAAAATGGATGGTCGGATTGTCGTGAATCGACGAAAAACCAACGGAAATTAAGTTAAAACCAATGATACTTCGAACTGAAATTAACGACGAACGACGACGATTCACGATGAAAGGTTTGAGAGGTTTTGTTCATCGGTTGATAATGAATACGATGATGGTTTCGGTTCGTCAAACAGATGTTAGACGGTGAGTATATCGGAGTTGAAAGGAGGGTTGAGGGAAAGAGGAAAAATGGAAAAAATCTAGAAACTGATCGGGGGACGGATATTATAATTCATCCCATAAAAAAATGGGTAAACCATGAGTTTAGTCACTGAATTTCCTGCACTTCTTAAAATGGTCTGCCAATTTTGAAATTTTACAATTTAATCCTTATTTTCTTCCAAAATACCAATTAAATCTAATACTTTATAATTCCAAAAATTTAACCCCTAAATTGGGGTATTACAATTCTCCCCTCCTTAAAAGAATTTCGTCCTCGAAATTCATTCAAGTCACATAATTGCAGAAATAAAACTTCAATCAGTTTTTTTCATAACTTCACATAACTTT